CCTGCTTTGGCAGGGGGTTGGGCTGGGTGACCCACAGAGGGCCCTTCCAACCCCTACTATTCTGTGATTCTGTGATTCTGTCTTTCACACCAGGCTATAGAAGTGCTCAAAAAGCAACTGGATTAATGGAAGAAAAGCTATTCAAGGGCTGCTTAAGATGCCAAAGCTCTAGCTCAGACATCGGTAACAGGCAGGTTTTACAGATCCATTCTCCCACGACTCAGAGATATCCAACACCTGCCCTGTTTCATGCTCGTTTTCCTCAATCCTTGCTGCCGCCCCCGCTGACTGGGGTACCTGCACTTCTGGTCTAAGCCAGCACAGCCATGCTTACGACTTTTCTTGCACCTAACAGCCGAGAGACCCACAGTGGACAAATAAACAGTTTATACAAAAATGTTTTACTAGAATTGGGTAACTGTTCATGATTCTCCAGTACAGGTAAATGAAAAAGATTCCTAATTATTACTGCTAAATTAAGCAGCTGTTGCAATAACAATTTACAATGCAATATTACCAGTTTATCTGAAACACCAGTCTTCTGCACCATCTCCCATTTATCTGCAGACCCAGGAAAAAAAGCAGGAAATCAGCATTTCCCTTTTCCAAACATAACTTGATTCAGTTTCTGTTTTTAAAAGGTAATGCAATTCTCCATCATAAAACAAAGAGAAGAACACGGCAAGTATATGTTCAATTTAGAAACAAAACAAGGCACCAGCTAAAAATAAGTGTTTCTGAATTTGAGAATTTTTTTTTTATTATTTATTGCACTAAGGAACAGCAGGGCAGTTTCACAATCTCACTTTCTGCTTTGAAAAGGTCTGCAGTATTACTCTTACACTCCAGTATTTTCATCATTGGACCTGATAAGTGTTGTAGGTTTGTCCATTTGTTAATAAGACAGCACAAACATTAAAAAAAAAATAATCATCATTTCAATTCATTCCTTTGTGGACAATTCAACTTCTCCTCTCACAACGACAGACGCTTGAGATTAAAGCAAGGGTAACTGTCACAGGTGAAAAAAAACCAAAACAGGACACTAACATTCAGTGAAAATACAGAAGTCTCTGAACCATGCATATACAGGGAAAGACTAACCAGATAGAAAAAAATAAAACAAAACAAAAAGAACTCCTATTTTCGCAATCGTGTCCATGAGGTCATCTCTCAAGACCAACGTTGCCCACAGGCGAAACACAAAGCACTTCCAGTCCTTCCCAAGCACTCGGCAGCTACAGCTTATTTCTAATTAGAGTGGGATACTCAAGTCCAAATGAGCCACTACGAAGCCCAGCCTACAGAAAATCCCTAGTGCACTAAGGCTACTCAGTAACGAACACCTACTTGCAGATTATGGCTGTTCCTTATGGAGTGCAAAGTCAAAACTTTTCAAAACCCAGTCATCTTTGTATTCATTTACATGTGATTCCTTAATTTCAGTGTCCCAGTAAAATATAAGAAAACAGTCTTTCCACAAGTATAAAATGTGGAAATATCTTAAAAATAGGGGAGGCATTGTTTTCTAACGCAAACGCGATCATCAGATTCCACATTTAATCTTGGGAAGAGGTTCTCGCCGTAAAGAATCCATGTTTTGTGGCTTTTGCATGCACTTAACTGGAACAAAGCTTGCTGAATGTCTTCTTAAGAGCTCACCAGAACATAAATCATGCTGCAAAATAAAACAAAAATATTCAGATGCACCATTTTGATTAGCGTTATACATTTCAATATACGGTCATACATCCTAAGGAACAAATCTGAGGTACCTGGATTGTGACTGAAGGTTTTACAAAGTCACAAACACATCAGGAAGGCACGCCGTGAACTGATGCAGCAACCAGCTGTCACTAGGCCAAGTGCCGTTCTATCGCGAGCCCCGCACAAACGCGACGCCCGCGGGTTAAAAGCCTCAGCCATTCCGGCTGTGGCGTCGGCAGCGCAGGGTGCCGAGGAGGGAGGACTGCCCACCGCTTCCCCCGCCACACCAGCCAGCGCAGGCCCCAGCACCCGGCAGCGAGCAGGAGGAACCAGGCGGTGGCACTGGCTTTGTGCACCCCCACCCCTTTTCACTCTTGGAATAACTCCTCTACCTTTGACTTCAACAGAAGTCATTCTGTTCAACATTTACATCAAAACACCTACTACCTCTAAAAATACTACTGTTTTAATGAAAATACTGAGAGGTGTGTTATTACATCATGCTTAAAAGAAGAAAAGCTTGGAGCTTTCAAGTCTCCAGTCACAGTATACAGATTCAAATCAGTAATTCCGGCCAAATTAAGACTTGTGCTATAAAAAACAGAATAAATGGTGACTGTGGATTCTTTTTCAGGAAAGCTGGCACTATACATATTCCTATGTACAAAATTTCTCTTGTGCCCTGAGCCAAAATTTCAAACAGAAGATTAGATGGGAGACAGAGGAAAAAAACTTACCCATATAGGTAGTAAAAAAATGATAGAAGGTAGAATGCTAATTTGCACCATCCTTCTTTCTGGCAATAGGCTAAAATATCTGCATTCATGATGGTTGTAGGATCATACAGACCAGGGCCACTCATCACAGGTCTACTCATGTACCTGAAAGCAATGCACAGTTAGTTTTGTGGTGACGGCAATGGGAAGCATTGGTTCCTGCCCCCCATCCACCCAGTCATACCAGAACTGAGACAAGGAATCGCACCCCGTACAGCAAAGTCCAGCATCTCCATGCAGGAGATGGCGAACTGCAAGAGCAACGCGAAGCTCCAAATAGGCACGGCTATAAGAGCTTTCACAGAGGGTGCCGAGACAGCTTACCTCGGCCTAAAACCACGCTGAACTCTGGTACACCAAAAGGAAACTGGACAAATTTATAAATAAATGAAAAATGGCATTCCTTATGAAAGGGTTGGAAAAGCTGGAGAAGAGACCAACATACAACCCTACGTAACCTATGGCCTTTACTCGTCACCACAGCGCATGCTGGCTACCACGCTGAAGGAATACTCGTACAGGTCGATACAAAATGATCCTGAAACTGCAGTTTAACACAGGCTGCTGGCCAAAGGAACAGCCCCACCTCCACCCCTCCGATTCCTCCTCACGCCAGGCCTAGCACAGACACAGCCACGCAGTGAAGCGGTTTTGCTGGGCTCATTTCAGCCAGACCAGCCCCCTCCTGCAGCTCCTGCCCAGGACTAACATCAGAACAAGGAGAGGTGTCTTAGGGGCAGGAGGAAAGCGGGATTGCTGCCGGCAATCTGCACCGTGAGTCTGCAGCATTAGCACAGCTTTGACAGGTCAGCTACCTTTAACGCACACACAACACAACCCGATTCTTGCACAGCGCAAGAGAATAACAAATAAAAATAACCGAGGAAGCAAAGTGATGGTTCTTGTTTCATAGTCACAAGGTAAATGTTCTCAGTGTCTTATCAGAAAGCATCTTTATTTGCCAAAGACATAGAACACTTCACAGGAAACGCTGTAACGGGAGAACGAGTAACAATTAACGTGAGTACAGAGAGACCAGACTCGTCAATATTACCTCCAAATATGATAAGCCAACAAAGGCATATTGAGACCCAGTGTAAGCCACTCTGCTGCACAGAGAAACATAACACAGAAGAATGCATGGATGAGGTACTCTGGAAGTACAAGCTGGAAAAGAAAAACAGGAGTTAGAAGTTTCGACTACTCAGAGCAAGATGTGTGGTGTTTCATCTATTTTGGAGGTAAGCTATTGTTTAAAAAACACTATTTAAAAACAACACTAACAAGAACAAGACTGCAGAAAGTGAAAACAGCAACCAGCAGCACACGCCTTGCTGTTTTCACATGATATTCATGAACCAGGAAGAAAAATTTATAAAATTAAGTGCTCAGATCAATAGTTTTTTATCGCTTCTATTGAATTAAGCGCACTGTTAACAGATTCCACACTTTATATGTGACCTTCACAAGAGAAGAGATCATCAAGATATTTCTGCTCATGCAACAGAGAAATATCCATAGGAAACATGCTCCATAGAACGGTTTATAGGCAAAAAGACGTTTTGCGTTCTCCTATTTTCCAGCTTTGTTTTGGTAGTCACACATACGCCATTTTTCAAATTCAAACTATCGCCAAATCCTAGGCAAAGCTTTCCCACACCAGATCAGCAGCGACGTTGTTCGGCACACTGGGCGCGCGCTGTGCTGCCCGCGGCGCAGGACAGCACGACAGCAGCTCCGCACGTTCACGCTGGGGAGCATGAGCCAGCTCCGTTTTTCTTCACAAGTACCTAAACCTGCATGCTTTATAGCATCATGCTTTCCAGCAGAAGCCCACAGAGATACTTCTCAGTTACTATGAAATCACAGAAAGCGTGAAATGCCAGGTAGTCTTCGTGCTATTAATAGGAATAATATGGAGAGATACACAGATTGCATGCAAAGAGCCAGTAAAATCTCACACCCGCCACAAAAGTAAAATCTGCTCAAACAAGTCACCCCAAAGGGACGTCATTTACTCCTTATTCACACAATTCAGAAAGAAGCAAATCTGTAAGCTTTCCACTTCTCAGCTCGGAACCACAAAAACATCTCCCTCGTGAAAAACACTCCCTTTCTACCCAAGGGTTTAAATTGTCTCTGTGTGTGCATACACACGCACACACACCACACTCTGCCCCTCTTTTTTTTTGTACAATACGACTAACATTGCATAGGGTGACTACCGTGAAGTTTCAGTGTTTGGTAATTTTTTTCATTCTGTCTAAGCAGACACTTTTTTTACCGCAAGAGTATCTTCCTAGAAATCTAAAAACTACAAGCAGGCATTCTCACCACCTACTTTGCTACTACCTTCTGCTTCTCTAAATGAGGAATACCAAACAAAGCAAACTTGCATCAACATCAACAAAAATAAGCTGTCACACATGAAGTGTTTCAAGTAAGTATTTTTGTCCAGACCCTTCTTTGTATACTTACCATTTACAACTCAGCAATTATTTATAGTAGAACAGCAACAACAAACCTACCCAAAACACGATGCATTTGCCAGCCTGCCGAGACAGATTTACCAGGTCTGAAAATCTGTAGTTTATACAACCACACATCTCAAATGCCATTTCTTTATCTTGTTTACTGTACCCTACTCCCACGCCAGAACACCTGTCTCTCAAACCTACCACACTTTATCCTCCCTGCTGCCTAATGGAAAAGGAACTACATCATATTCGACCACGGTATTTATCAGGGAAGCGAGGGAAGAAGAAATCTCGTCGCTGAGAAGAGACAAGACTATAATAGGAGCAGGGAAGAGAAGGGATCCACAGTGTACTAAGCAGTTACTATTCTGGGCTAATCTTTCTACTGAGGTGTCTCAATTCCTACCAGGATTTTTGATTCTTTGTACAGGAAAACAACGCTTTGGTGTGTTTCATTTACCAGATCCCCTTAAGAGTCTGGATCTTAACTTCAGTTTTAGTGGCTAATCTACTTCCACAAGAACAGCAAATATTATTTCATATTTTCAGTTCACAAAGCTATCATATAAATAAACACTACATGCATGTGGGTTAATAGAAGGTTAATATTTGTATTAAACATGCGCATTATAATATTTCAAAGGTTGCAATATGATCATAATGCATAAATGTAATGAGAATTTGCCTTCCCCCACACTGTAGCAGAAATGACTGTAGAACAGAGCAAGCAAGGGAAACTGTTAGATGCGCAGCTATCCCAGCAGCAAACCTCACTCTCCGAGATGCAACCCTCTGCCCATCACCTCTTCTCCTCCCGACTCGTTCTCATGCTGTAATACTCGCTGTCAATTGATGGCCTGTATGTCTTTTTTTGTTCTTTTCCCCCAGCTACTGTAAATTCATTTTTCATTGGCATAATTTACTTAACTCTTCAAACCACAATACAGTTACAGTCCAGGCCACACTGCTGTGCTGCGCCTGCATTCTACCTCAGCCTGGGCACACCAAGCCAAAGTAAAGACCATGAGAAACGCACAAAAGCCCTGCTGTACCAAACTATATGCTCTTTAACAAGCATCCCTTTTATTATTGGCCTGTTACAGATGCAGGCAAAGAGTCTGCCTCAAATGCTTTGCACAAATCAGGGAGTGTCAGAGTTGCATCCAGGAGAGGACACCAAGATACACCCCTGACCCTGGAACACAAAACAAAGAAGGGACGATAACGCCTATCACATTATGCCCACCTAAAATCCTCAAACAAGATCAGAATTTACTTGGTTAAAACAACTAGTCTCCTATAATGTCAGAGTTCAGTAAATCTTGTTTGAAAAGCACTATTTATTTCTACCTGAAGTTGCTTCAGCTAACCAAGAGGACACGTAACAGGCATGTAACAGTTTTCCCCGCTTCACTGGGTAAGCAAGCAAAAATTGGTTTGCACAAAATATGGAAATCCACGGAGCTGTTATAAACCCCGACAAACAAATAACGAGCAGATGAACAGGCACACTAAGCAAAACAGCTTAATAGTATTACAAATGTTCCTAACAAAATGAAAGGGAAGTGGTGTTAAAAACGTTAAACTGAAAAGCAGTACACACCTTTAATGCAATTTTGACTCTTTTAATCTTTTTGACCTTTTCAACTGTCTTTGTGCCGAAAACGTAGAAAGCAGATTGAAAGAATGTTAGTATGACAGCTGACAAGATCACCAGCAGATTAATAACAGTCAGAATATTCAACTTGAAAGTATAGAATCAGACAAAGAATTTTCCCTAGAACTTCTATCGAACAGCTAGGTTTTGTCCACCCAGATGCAATTCTACTGCCTAGTTTCACTATATCAAGAAATCACCAAAAATGAGCACTTTGCATATATTTAACAAAATGTTTGGCACGCTACTTACAGGATTGAGTGTATTACATTGGTCTATGGGATTCTTGTAATCAGTCTTCAGTTCATCAAATGCTATAATCTACAAAAAAAATTGAAACAGTTGTGATTCTTCAGTCCAGCAGCAACAACGTGTTCTGCCCATGCAGAGTAACATTTTGGTGCGGAGCCCTAACAGTCCCCTGCTGCCGTCCTATTCAGGAACGCGATTCCTCCCGAGTAAGCTCTACTGCTGTAAACCCCCTGTAAACATTTGAACCGGGCTGTACAAACAAGAAAGCAGAAGATCCCGCAGGCACAAACAGACCTCTGCCATTTCACCTCCCCCCAGCCACAAATTTCCAAGGTCCCTTTCGGCCGTTTTTAACCCCGCTCGCTGTGCGTGGACCCCAAGCATCACAAGTGACCTCCTGGGCTTCCAGCAGAAACCCGACACCGGCTTCGTTAATGAAGAAAGAGCAACAGCAATCTTAAAAGCAGCCAGATATTTCACCTCGTTGTCAAAGAAAACGCTGACCCCGCATCCAAAACGTGCATCCACAAAACCCCGTGTATACTCGAGCTCCTCACGCCGTACAAATCAGACAACGATGCAGCATGAAATGCAACAAAAGCCACTTGTACAGAACAAGTGTCACACCAAACAACAGGAAAGTCTTAAGAAGGATCAACTGATTATCAGTACGAGATTCATCTATATTCAGTACAAGCCCTAATGTGCTTACAGGACAGGGCTGATAAAACTACTGAGCAGTTTCTGCTCAGGATAACTGTGACGCTCGGAGTCCCAGAACCAGCGCTCTCCTGACGCTCTCTCCTAGAGTGGCACCTCACCACTGATCCAAGATGGGTCCCCAGCTCAAGGCAGAAAACTCTCCAAGAAAAAAAAACAACCACTAAAAAAAAAAATCTCAAAAACTCGGTGTAAAGCATAACAAGAACGTGACACCACTCACTGTTTCTGTTAAGCAACCGGCTAAATCGACTTCAGACGAAAACGTTCCCGACCGCTATGGCGGAAAGGCTGCACTCCCCGCTCGGTGCAGGGGCTGGAGCTGGGGGGCCTTCAGAGGCCCCTTCCCACCCAAACAGAATCACAGAATCCCAGCATGGCAGGGTTTGGAAGGGCCCTCTGTGGGTCACCCAGTCCAACCCCCTGCCCAAGCAGGGTCACCCAGA